AAGCAACTGGGAACAACAGCAACTCAGCCACCAAGTGGTAGGCCACGTCACATGACAGAGCGGGGTCAGCGCATGCTGAGCGCACAGTGCGCAGAAGTCGCCAACTGTCTGCAGAGTCAATAGATAAAGACCTTCAAACTTCATGTGGCCTACAGATTAGCACAACAACAGTGTGTAGAGAGCTTAATGGAATGGGTTTCCATGGCCGAGCAGCTGCATCCAAGCCTTACATCACCAAGTGCAATGCAAAGCGTTGGATGCCGTAGTGTAAAGCACGCCGCCACTGGACTCTAGAACAGTGGAGACATGTTCTCTGGAGTGACCAAATCACGCTTTTCTGTCTGGCAATCCGATGGACGTGTCTGGGTTTGGCGGTTGCCAGGAGAATGGTACTTGCCTGACTGCATTGTGCCGAGTGTAAAGTTTAGTGGAGGGGGGATGATGATGTGTGGGGTTGTTTTTTTCAGGGGTTGAGCTTGGCCCCCTAGTTCCAGTGAAGGGAACACTTAAGGTGTCAGTTGGGGACAATTTCATGTCCCCAACTTTGTGAGAACAGTTTGGGGATGGCCCCTTCCTGTTCCAACATAACTGCGCACCGGTGCACAAATCAAGGTCAATAAGGACATGGATGAGCCAGTTTGGGGTGGAGGAACTTGACTGGCCTGCACGAGTCCTGACCTCAACCCCATAGAACACCATTGGGATGAATTAGAGTGGACACTGTGAGCCAGGCCTCCTCCCCCGACATCAGTGCCTGACCTCACAAATGTGCTTCTGGAAGAATGGTCCAACCTTCCCATAGACACCCCTCCTAAACCTTGTGGACGGCCTTCCCAGAAGAGTTGAAGCTGTTATAGCTGCAAAGGGTGGGGCCAACTCAATATTGAACCCTACGGACTAAGACTGGGGGGCCATTAAAGTTCATGTGTGTGGAAAGGGCGGGGCCAACTCAATATTGAACCCTACGGACTAAGACTGGGATGCCATTAAATTCATGTGTGTGGAAAGGCCGGCCGACCAATACTTTTGGCAATATAGTGTATCTACTAGATTGTAAACTCTAACGAGCCGGGTCCTCTGTTTCCTCTTGTATCAAATTGTATTGTAACTGTCATGTCTGCCTTCATTTTGTAAAGCTCTGCGCAAACTGTTGGCGCTCTATATATCATGTATTATAATAATAATCTCGTGTTCTAATGGCCATAATGGGGTATTTTACTTCTGCGCATAATACAGGAACATTCGTTCAGAAGACAAAATAACCTAAAGAACATTTATTTTTGCATGCATCTTCTTTCAATAGATATAGATCAGTTGTATGTAGTCACTTGTGCCTGGACTGAGCTCCATTTGCTACATGCATGGCCACCAGATATCGGTAAAAACTAGCCAGGGCTTCTGATTCTTTCACACCCCATCCAAATCTTATATCAATAAAGTGCAGCGCTATTGTATCAGTCAAAGATGTAATCAGGGTATAATCAAAATATAATAGTTCGTAAATAAATGATAAAATAAGATCCAGAAGTAAGCAAGAATCAAAATGCTGGTGCTCAGAAGGAATGGTGAAATTGCGCACTCACCAGATGCGCCTGGGACATACACATTAATATATCCATCACGGAACACTTAGGGTGTGTGGTATGACAGGTGTGTGATGATCTTCCTTCGAGGGATAGAGCAGCACAGCGGTGAATCTGTAGATTTAGGTGAAGTCTGCTTGTCTAGAGGTCCCCTTTAGGATGGATGGGTCTGCAACCTGCTTACAGGGATTCCCTCCTCTGGGTACTGGATCAATAAGAAACTTCCACTGGCTCTGTAATTTAATGGCTCCATAAAAGAGCCATAAAAAAGGTGCCCATAGTGTAGTATTCCTTTAAACTTTTATTCCATGGAAACAGATAACAGTAATATACAGTAGTGCAGAGTGAACTGACCATAAAGATGGCCGCCGGACCTGCACGTGGCTTCAGCGGCATGACGTCACAGCATGTTGGTTCCTCCTTAGGCCTTTCGTGCCACGCACGTTCTCAGAGGGGAGACCAACCCTATCCAAATCTAATGATGAACATTTTGGCTGGTCGTACAATTTCAACATTTTCCTTTCTGTACCCTACAGGACACGTGGGATACGGGACTCAACCATGGCTGATGACTCCACTAGCCACTCCTGAGACGTCATCAGAGGCTCGGTACAATCGCGCCCACCAGAAAACTCGCCAATGCCTAGAACGACTCTTTGGAGTCTGGAAATCACGGTTTCGGTGCCTCTCGTCTACCGGCAAACTGCTCTATGCTCCCACCAGGGTGGCTGAGCTCGTCATTGTTTGCGCGGCGCTCCACAACCTGGCTTGCAAGCATGGAGCGCCGCAGGACATCGACGACAACCTGCAAGCGGAGGACGAGGGACCGGCTGCTGATGACGAGGAGTCCTCGGAGGCAGGGCTCAGAAAGAGGGCAGAGCTGATCACCTCCCACTTCAGTTGTGAGTATATCAATATGTTCTTTAACCCTTTTACGCCGGCGCCTCCCGGCCCTTTAAGAGTTCCAGAAGATGGGAGGCGGGGTGGGGTTTAGGGTCATGTGACGCCGTCACATGATCGGGAAAGGTCCCAATCAAAAGAGGAGATCGGGACCTTTCCGTGTGTACCGGACATGCGTGCTGGGAGCTTGCAGGGCGCGTGCTCTCGGCACATATGTCCTTTTTTAATTGCATGCAAATGTGCGGCCGCTCGGCGTATAGGTCCAGACGCCGGCGCCGGCGTGAAGAGGTTAAAGCAGGGGTAAGAAACCTTTGAGAGGTGGAGATCTACCTGAAAAACATGAAACAGATCAAAGATCACCTGCGGTGTGGAGCCCTTTTTTGTAAAAAAAAAATAAATAAATGCACATCTTTTTGCAAATAAAAAATACGCATTTATTATTTTTTTTTCACTAGGATCCTAGAAAGCATTGCACCCGCGATCAGCACGCGCAGGAATGCACAAAAGATACAGAGAGTCGGAACGCATGAAAAACGCTCAGAAACTCATCTGTGCTGGTCTGCGCCTTTTTTGTGCATGTCAGGAAAGCACGTGAATTTGCGTGTGTTTCTAACACGCATAGATGTGAATCTATCCTATGATCTGCGCAGTCTTGGGGTGGAACATGGATTCAGTGGGGGTCAAAGCGAGCAAAGGGGTGCAGGGGTGGACATGGACCAGACGTATATGATCCCTGTTCTTTAGAATACCTTCACAATGCTCAGATTCGCTTTGGGGCCCATTTACATTTCTCTGTTCCTATGTATGTGTTAACGCACATTATGTCATACACTAACATGTGTTGTGTTAAGCCACAGGGGTGTCAAACTGGCGGCCCTCCAGCTGTTGCAAAACTACAAGTCCCATCATGCCTCTGCCTTTGGGAGTCATGCTTGTTACTAAGGCAATCCATTCACTTAAGCTGCCAATGCAAAGGAACAGTCCAAAAACGGACATGAAGAATTTTTTCTGACGCAGCGCACCACAATGCATGGTAATGGTGCACTGCAATGCATATGTATCAAGACTGCACCTCATTAGTGCTTTGGGGCACCATTCACAATAAATAGTAAAGCAACATGTAAACCCACATAACACGCATTGTGGTAACACGCATGTTACTGCAAGGCACCAAATCCATAGCTGTGTTTCCGTGCGTTTCTGGGTTTGCGGTGCCGTTCATTTTAAATTATCATTATTATTATTAATAATAATATTGTCTCCTCCCATGCTTGTCTCCAGGACTTCTGCAGAGCTTCCCCCATCCTCTGGAACTCACTACCCCAATTTATCAGACTATCGCCTACTCTGCTCACTTTTAGGAGATCTCTGAAAACCTATCTCTTCAGGGAAGCCTATCCTGCCCTCAGCTAATAATGAAATCTTCTACTCTTCCAACCAGTCCATCCCCCACAGTTTCTACCTTTTGTACCACTAGCCCCTCCCTCTTAGATTGTAAGCTCCGAGGATCAGGGCCCTCCTATCCCTCTTGTATTGATCTGTATTGTTGCTGTATTGTCTCACATTATATTGTACAGCGCTGAGCAAACTGTTGGCACTATATAAATCCTGGATAATAATAATAATAATTATTATTATTCAGGATTTATATAGTGCCAACAGTTTGCTCAGCACTTTACAAAATGAAGGCAGACATTACAGTTACGATACAATTTGGTACAAGAGGCGACAGAGGACCCGGCCCATTAGAGATTACAATCTAAGAGGAAGGGGTGAGTGATACAAAAGGTAATAGCTGTGGGGGGGATGAGCTGATGGAGGAAATAAATGGCGGTTTACTAGGTAGAAGCAGGATAGATTTCTTTAACCCCTTCACGCTGGCGCCTCCCTTTAAGAGTTTCAGAAGCTGGGAGGCGGGGCGGGGTTTAGGGTCATGTGACCGCCGTGACGCGTCATCACAGCAGTCCCATGATTGGGAAAGGTCCCGATCGAAAGAGGAGATCAGGACCTTTCGTGAGTACCGGACATGTGTGCCGGGAGCACGCAGGGCACCGCGCTCGGCACATATGTCCTTTTTAATAGAACGCAAATGTGCAGCCGCTCGGCGTCTAGACCCAGACCCCGGGAGGCCGCACATTTGCGTTCGGCCGGCGTGAAGAGGTTAAAGAGAAAGGTTTTCAGGTATGGTCGAAAGGTGGATGGATTAGGAGACAACCGGACAGATTGGGGTAGAGAATTCCATAGGATGGGAGAAGTTCGGGAAAATCCTGGAGGCGACCATGGGAGGAGGTGACACAGGAACTAGAGAGCAGAAGGTCTTGGGAGGATCGAAGAGAGCGGTTTGGTTGATATTTTGAGACCAGGTTGGTGATGTAGCTGGGGGCAGAGTTGTGGTTGGCTTTGTAAGTTGTTGTTAGTATTTTGAATTTTATTAGTTGAGCGAGTGGAAGCCAGTGGAGGATTGGCAGAGAGGGGTGGAGGACACGGATTGGAGGTCAGTGGAGGATTGATTGGTAAAGAGGGGGGTGGAGGACACAGATTGGAGGTCAGTGGAGGGATTGGCAGAGAGGGGTGGAGGACACTGATTGGAGGTCAGTGGAGGAGGGATAGGCAGAGAGGGGTGGAGGACACTGATTGGAGGTCAGGTCAGTGGAGGGATTGGCAGAGAGGGTGGAGGACACTGATTGGAGGTCAGTGAAGGGATTGGCAGAGAGGGGTAGAGGGATTGACAGAGAGAGGGGTGGAGGACACTGATTGGAGGTCAATGGAGGGATTGGAAGTGTGGGGTGGAGGACACTGATTGGAGGTCAGTGGAGGGATTGGCAGAGAGGGGTGGAGGACACTGATTGGAGGTCAGTGGAGGGATTGGAAGAGAGGGGTGGAGGACACTGATTGGAGGTCAGTGGAGGGATTAGCAGAGAGAGGGGTGGAGGACACTGATTGAAGGTCAGTGGAGGGATTGGAAGTGAGGGGTGGAGGACACTGATTGTTGGTCAGTGGAGGGATTGGAAGTGAGGGGTGGGAGGACACTGATTGGAAGTCAGTGGAGGGATTGGCAGAGAGGGGTGGAGGACACTGGTTGGAGGTCAGTGGAGGGATTGGCAGAGAGGGGTGGAGGACACTGATTGGAGGTCAGTGGAGGGATTGGCAGAGAGGGGTGGAGGACACTGATTGGAGGTCAGTGGAGGGATTGGCAGAGAGGGGTGGAGGACACTGATTGGAGGTCAGTGGAGGGATTGGGAGAGAGGGGTGGGAGGACACTGATTGGAGGTCAGTGGAGGGATTGGCAGAGAGGGGTGGAGGACACTGATTGGAGGTCAGTGGGGTGAGGGATTGGCAGAGAGGGGGGATGGAGGACACTGATTGGAGGTCAGTGGAGAGATTGGCAGAGAGGGTAGCAGACATGGAGGACACTGAACGGTTGGTTGGCAAGGGAGTGAACGAATAGCACTTCAATGCACTTGCAGCACAGCGCATGTGCGGTAAAATATTACTGTATGTGCCACTGCCAAAAATGGTGCATGTGTTTTTTTTTTTTTTTTAATGAGGTGGTAACGTTTGGAATAATTTGCAGGGGGAATATTTATAAAACAGTCAATATGACTCTCACCAAACATTCACTGGTGGTGAAAACGCATGAACCAAGAAGATTTTCCAGCAGCGAACATTTGGTGAATGTCAGATATACTGCTTTTTAAGTATGCCCCATAATGTTAAAAAACAAGCAAAAGACAAGGGGGCACTCTTTACGTCTGGAGGAAAAGAAATTTAATCTCCAAACACAGAAAGGTTTCTTCACGGTAAGAGCTGTGAAAATGTGGAATAGACTCCCTCAAGAGTTGGTTGTGGCCAGCTCAGTGGATTGCTGTAGGAAAGTCCTGGATTCTTTCTTGGATACACAGAATATAACTGGATATAACATTTATAGGTAAAGTTGATCCAGGGAATATCTTGTTGACTTTGTTGATTAGATGTGAGTAAATGTCTACAGCTTCTCAAATATAGTCACTTCTCTACACTGTACTGTATATAATGTGTTCATCGGTACATAGATAATAATAATATATAATACTTTTTGTTGGCAGAATCTGAAGAAGACGGTGACTGTTCTCAATTACAGAATGCATGGCCAGCCTCTTCCGTAAGTAAGTATAATTTTTATGATTTAATAGGAGTTACTCATTTCATTCTAAGACAGGTATTTATATAGTGCCAACAATTTTTGCAGCACTTTACATATTGTACATTCACATTAGTCTCTGCCGCAAGGAGCTTACAATCTAATCATTTAATAATTTCCCTTTGGGATTGATAAAGTATTTCTGAATCTATAAAAAGGACCAATTTATACAGGAGCCAATTAACCTGCCAGGATGTCTTTTGAGTGTGGGAGAAAATCCACACAAGTATAGAAAGAACATGAAAACTCCATGCATATAGTCAAGGCCAAGAGCAGAACTTTGGAGTTGGCCCAGCCTTGTGCCCATAACAGCCTCCACTCATCTGGGAAGGATGCAAATAATGTCCTTGTCAGGAGCATAACTATGGAGTTGGTCCCACCTTGTGGCCATAAACGCCTCCACTCATCTGAGAAGGACTCATATAGTGTCCTGTTCAAAGGCAGAACTATGGAGTTGGCCCCACTTTGTGGTCATAGCAGCCTCCACTCATCTGGGAAGGACGCATATAGTGTTTGGTCAAGAGCACAATTATGGAGTTGGCCCCACTTTGTGGCCATAGTAGCCTCCACTCATCTGGGAAGGACGCATATAGTGTGCTGGTCAAGGGCAGAACTATGAAGTTGGCCCCACTTTGTGGTCATAGCATCCTCCGCTCATCTGGGAAAGATGTATATAGTCTCCTGGTCAAGAGCATAACTATGGAGTTGGCCCCACTTTGTGGCCATAGCATCCTCCACTCATCTGGGAAAGATGCATATAGTGTCCTGGTCAAGGGCAGAGCTATGGAGTTGGCCCCACTTTGTGGCTATAACAGCCTCCACTCATCTGAGAAGGACACATATAGTGTCCTGGTCAAGGGCAGAGCTATGGAGTTGGCCCCACTTTGTGGCTATAACAGCCTCCACTCATCTGAGAAGGACACATATAGTGTCCTGGTCAAGGGCAGAACTATGGAGTTGGCCCCTCTTTGTGGCTATAACAGCCTCCACTCATCTGGGAAGGACGTATATAGTGTCCTGGTCAAGAGCATAACTATGGAGTTGGCCCCACTTTGTGGTCATAGCATCCTCCACTCATCTGGGGAAGATGCATATAGTGTCCTGGTCAAGGGCAGAACTATGGAGTTGGCCCAACTTTGTGGCCATAGCATCCTCCATGCATCTGGGAAGGATGCACATAGTGTCCTGGTCAACGGTAGAACTATGGAGTTGGTCCCACTATGTGGCCATAACAGCGTCCACTCACCTGGTAAAGATACATATAGTGTCCTAGTCAAGTTGGTCCCTAGACATGTGCACGCTGGAAATTTTAGTTTCACTTTGTTGTATTTGATATATTTGAAGTATTTTGCTTCATATCAGAGGCGGACTGACAACTCATGGGGCCCCCGGGCAATAGGGGATCATGGGGCCCCTGTGTCCTTGCCTAAACTCAAAAAAGCCTATGAAAAAGGTATCAGGGGCATCTTATGGGGCAGTGCCCGAGTTTCCAAATGGTCAGTCCGCCCCGCGTCATATTCGTTATGATGACAAAATTCATTTTCGGAATTTGTTTTGTATCTTCGTTGGTCTGGATGGATTCTAAAAATGTTGCAGTTTTTCCCGAAATATTGCTATATATTTGATATATTAATGAATCGGACAGATTCAATATTTTTGGACGCTAGTCCAACCCACCAAAAGAAATGGCATGAGCTGATTGGACAATATCGACTGGCGTCATGTGCATTAGAATTAACAAATGGAACAAGATTCGGATCCATTCACTATTGAATCCAAATGATCAAACAAATTTGAAAATTTTATTCATTTCCCTATGGGCCCAAACTACTATCGCATTATGTGACATTATCTGGTGAAATGAATGCATTCGTTAATTTAGTGAAATTTTTTTCTTGGATTTGTTGATATTCATTACTATGTCCTTTTGGAGATTTGTATACATCCGAATTTCCAAAAATGACATTTTCATCTGAAATACAAATTGTAATGAAATGAAATGCACATGAAATTTCCCCTGCGGGAGCAAATTGGATCATGCTTTGCTGGGTTTTTTTTGCCTTCCTCTGGATCAACTGTGGGTGTTGGATTATAACTTTTTTTTTTTTTTTTTTTAATGGTTGAACTGTATGGACTTTTGTCTTTTTTCAGCCAGACTAACTATGTCTATTGGCCTCACTTTGTGGCCATAGCAGCCTCAACTCATCTGGGAAGGATGCATATAGTGTCCTGGCGAAGGGGGAGGTTCCACTTTGTGGCCATGGAGTTATAGGTTATGGAGTTGGTTCCACTTTGTGGCCATAGCAGCCTTCACTCATCTGGGAAGGCTTTTAATAAAAAAATTGGAGTATGTCTGTCCAAAAAACAGGTTTATAAGGGTAGGTACTGATACTGGATAGGAAGATCTGGCTCAAAATCCACGTTCCAATTCATCCCAAGAGTGTTCAGTTGGGTTGAGGTCAGAGCTCTTTGCAGACAATTTGACTTCATCAAGGTTGGAAGCACAAGGTTGGAGGAGCACAGTTCAGTAAAATGCCTTTGTATGCATTCACTGAGAATTAACTGTACTCAATTGTGGCCATAGTAGACTCCACTCATCTGGAAAGGATGCATATAGTGTCCTGGTGAATGGAAGAACTATGGAGTTGGTCCCACTTTGTGGCCATAGCAGCTGCCACTCATCTGGGAAGGCTTTCAATAAAAAAATTGGAGTATGTCTGTCCAAAAAACAGATTTATGAGGTTAGGTACTGATCAGGGGTGGACTGACAATTTTGAAACTCGGGCACTGCCCGAGGGTCCGGGGTCAGTAGGGGGCCCCATGAGATGCCCCTGGTACCTTTTTCATAGGCTTTTTTGAGTTTGGGAAAGGACACAGTGGCCCCATGATCCCCTATTGCCCGGGGGCCCCATGAGTTGTCAGTCCGCCCCTGGTACTGATACTGGATAGAAAGATCTGGCTCACAATCCACGTTCCAATTCATCCCAAGGGTGTTCAGTTGGGTTGAGGTCAGAGCTCTTTGCAGACAATTTGACTTCATCAAGGTTGGAAGCACAAGGTTGGAGGAGCACAGTTGAGTAAAATGCCTTTGTATGCTGAAGCATTCACTGAGAATTAACTGTACTCAATTATTTGGAGGGGGGTGTCTACATACTTCTGACCAGGTAGTGAAGGTGCGATGGTCAGCTCTCCAAACTCTTCTGGCCATGTAGCGTAGCTCTAATCACGTAATTCAAGAGTTAAACCCGTGCCTGAAGTGGGGCGGGGGGAGTAGGAACCCATAGCTGACAAGCTGTCCCTCCTCCTAGCTTGCTCACTTCTTTTACTGAATTGATCTTTGTATTCTCTCCCCCTCCTCCCTATCCCTCTGTGTTACTCTGTGCCTTCTTGCTGCACACTGTAGAGTGGAAATACTGAAGAAGGGGGAGTGAGGGCTGGAGACACCAGTTAGACTTCCTGTCCGAGCAAAGCACAGATTGACTTAGTAGTCTTTCTCAACCTCTTTTACCATGAAGGAACCCTTGAAATAGTCTTCAGGTCTGGGGGAACCCCTGCTAAAAATGATTATACCTACAGTTCATGATACATTAAGGTGTTCACTAAATTTAAGTATAAATAATATGGCATAACTAGCATATCTGACACCCAGGGCGCTTTTATCTGCTCTATACCACATATCTTAACATTTAATTAATACAATTAGCAACAAAAGAAATACAGTCAGAATTGTGGTGTCTCTAATACTAGTGGCTAGTTTAGATTGGTTGCATTGGTAGTCATAGGTAAAGACTTGAATTTGCCTTTTCTGTCTATCAAGGTTGCTCTAGCATCTTCAGGAGGAACCCTAGAGTTCTATGGAACCCTGGTAGAAAAAAAGGCTGCTTTAAAGTATCCTACCATGTGGAGCTCTTCAAGGGCCCCAAAACTAAGTTATCCCAATTTGCAAACACAGCCTCCAGTTCCTCTAGTATGCTTAGTCTTGTCTCCTTCTATAACTGAGTAACTAAAGCCGGCCATTGTTGGTTTGAATCT